ACTAGGGGTAGGGACTAGGGGCTAGGGACTAGGGGGTAGGGACTAGGGGGTAGAGACTAGGGGGTAGGGACTAGGGACTAGGGGCTAGGGGTAGAGACTAGGGGGTAGGGACTAGGGACTAGGGGGTAGGGACTAGGGGGTAGAGACTAGGGGGTAGGGACTAGGGGTAGGGACTAGGGGGTAGGGACTAGGGACTAGGGGCTAGGGACTAGGGACTAGGGGGTAGGGACTAGGGACTAGGGGCTAGGGACTAGGGGCTAGGGACTAGGGGCTAGGGACTAGGGGTAGGGACTAGGGGTAGGGACTAGGGACTAGGGGGTAGGGACTAGGGGCTAGGGACTAGGGGCTAGGGGCTAGGGACTAGGGGCTAGGGACTAGGGGTAGGGACTAGGGGGTAGGGACTAGGGGGTAGGGACTAGGGGCTAGGGACTAGGGGCTAGGGACTAGGGGGTAGGGACTAGGGGGTAGGGACTAGGGGCTAGGGACTAGGGGCTAGGGACTAGGGGCTAGAGACTAGGGGGTAGGGACTAGGGGGTAGGGACTAGGGGGTAGGGACTAGGGGGTAGGGACTAGGGGCTAGGGACTAGGGGGTAGAGACTAGGGGGTAGGGACTAGGGGCTAGGGACTAGGGGCTAGGGACTAGGGGGTAGAGACTAGGGGGTAGGGACTAGGGGCTAGGGACTAGGGGGTAGGGACTAGGGGGTAGGGACTAGGGGGTAGGGACTAGGGGGTAGGGACTAGGGGGTAGGGAGTAGGGGTAGGGACTAGGGGGTAGTATACAGTGCCTTCAGAAAGTTTTCAGACCCCTTGACTTTTTCCACATTTTGTTGTGTAACAAGGTGGGATTAAAATGGATTTGATTGTAATTTTTGTTTAAGGATCTACACAAAATACTTGAATGTCAAAGTGGAAGAATAAATTCTGAAAAATAAAAAAACAAATATATTTCTTGATTAGATAAGTATTTAACCTTCTGAGTCAATACATGGTAGAATCACCTTTGGCAGCGATTACAGCTGTGAGTCTTACTGGGTAAATCTCTAAGAGCTTTGCACACCTGGATTGTACAATATTTGCACATTATTCTTCAAGCTCTGTCAAAATTGGCTGTTGATCATTGCTAGACAGCCATTTTCAAGTCTTGCCATAGATTTTCAAGCCGATTTAAGTCAACTGTAACCAGGCCACTCAGGAACAGTGTAGATTCGGCCCTGTGTTTTAGGTTATTGTCCTGTTGAAAAGTGAATGTGTCTCCCAGTGTCTGGTGGAAAGCAGACTGAACCAGGTTTTCCGCTAGGATTTAGCCTGTGCTTAGCTCTATTCCATGTATTTTTATCCCCCCAAAAAAATCCCTAGTCCTTGCCGATGACAAGCACACCCATAACATGATGCAGCCACCACCATGCTTGAACATATAGAGAGTGGTACTCAGTGATGTGTTGCGTTGGATTTGCCCCAAACATAACACTTTGTATCCTTGTAACATTTTCTGCAGTTTTACTTTAGTGCCTTATTGCAAACAGCAAGCATGTTTTGGAATATTTTGATTCTGTACAGGCTTCCTTCTTTTCACTCTGTCAATTAGGTTAGTATTGTGGAGTAACTACAATGTTATTGATCCATCCTCAGTTTTCTCCTATCACAGCCATTAAACTCTGTAACTGTTTTAAAGTCACAATTGGCCTCATTGTGAAATCCCTGAGCGGTTTCCTTCCTCTCTGGCAACTGAGTTAGGAAGGACGCCTGTATCTTTGTAGTGACTGGGTGTATTGATACACCATCCAAAGTGTAATTAATAACTTCACCATGCTCAAAGGGATATTCAATGTCTGCTTTTTTTTTAATACCCATCTACCAATAGGTGCCCTTCTTTGCGAGGCATTGGAAAACCTCCCTGGTCTTTGTGGTTGAATCTGTGTTTGAAATTCACTGCTCGACTGAGGACCTTACAGATAATTGTATGTGTGGGGTAAAGAGATGAGGTAGTCATAAAGAAATCATGTTAAACACTATCATTGCACACAGTGAGTCCATGCAACTTATTATGTGATTTGTTAAGCACATTTTTACTCCTGAACTTATTTAGGCTTGCCATAACAAAGGGGTTGAATACTTATTGATCCAAGATATTTCAGCTTTTCATTTTTAATTAATTTGTAAAAAAAAAAAAAAAAAAAAAGATACAAACTTAGATCCACTTTGACATTATGGGGTATTGTGTGTAGGCCAGTGACACAAAATCTCAATTTAGTCCATTTTAAATTCAGGCCAAAACACAACAAAAATGTGGAAAAAGTCGAGGGGTGTGAAGACTTTTTGAAGGCACTGTACATCAACGTAGACCTATATGGAGTAGGTTACTTCTCTAGTCTATTACTGGGTTAAATATAGATCAACGTAGACCTATATAGAGTAGGTTACTTCTCTAGTCTATTACTGGGTTAAATATAGATCAACGTAGACCTATATAGAGTAGGTTACTTCTCTAGTCTATTACTGGGTTAAATATAGATCAACGTAGACCTATATAGAGCAGGTTACCTTCTCTAGTCTATACTGGGGTTAAATATAGATCAACGTAGACCTATATAGAGCATGGTTACTTCTCTAGTCTATGACTGGGTTAAATATAGATCAACGTAGACCTATAGAGAGTAGGTTACTTCTCTAGTCTATTACTGGGTTAAATATAGATCAACGTAACCTATATAGAGCAGGTTACTTCTCTAGTCTATTACTGGGTTTAAATATAGATCAACTGTAGACCTATATAGAGCAGGTTACTTCTCTAGTCTATTACTGGGTTTAAATATAGATCAACGTAGACCTATATAGAGTAGGTTACTTCTCTAGTCTATTACTCGGGTTAAATATAGATCAACGTAACCTATATAGAGCAGGTTACTTCTCTAGTCTATTACTGGGTTAAATATAGATCAACGTAGACCTATATAGAGTAGGTTACTTCTCTAGTCTATTACTGGGTTAAATATAGATCAACGTAGACCTATATAGAGTAGGTTACTTCTCTAGTCTATTACTGGGTTAAATATAGATCAACGTAGACCTATATAGAGTAGGTTACTTCTCTAGTCTATTACTGGGTTAAATATAGATCAACGTAGACCTATATAGAGCAGGTTACTTCTCTAGTCTATTACTGGGTTAAATATAGATCAACGTAGACCTATATAGAGCAGGTTACTTCTCTAGTCTATTACTGGGTTAAATATAGATCAACGTAGACCTATATAGAGCAGGTTACTTCTCTAGTCTATTACTGGGTTAAATATAGATCAACGTAGACCTATATAGAGTAGGTTACTACTCTAGTCTATTACTGGGTTAAATATAGATCAACGTAGACCTATATGGAATAGGTTACTTCTCTAGTCTCGCTCACTTACCGGATCTTTGCGCCCCTGCGCGCTCTCTGCTCCTCCTCCTCCGTACTGAAATCCAACTCCACCTCCTCCGTGTCGTCCACGAGACCACCCTGCACCGGGTGCACACACAACCCGTAAAACACACAACCGTTAGCCTACTAGCTAGCTACCGACCGGAGAAGGATTTCATTAAAACAACAACACATGCAACCTATCCTACCTGTTTCATTGTGAGCGATAGACCGGGGGGTTCTAGTCCAGATCTGTCCGCTATTGCTCATTCGTTCTGTTCTGACGGCTCTGTCCGTTGTTATTGTGGCTAGAATAAAGCAGGTGTCGCAGTGAAACGGGTCCGACTGGAGAGAGATGCTCTCGCATCAGCATCATCTGGCAAGAGAGATGGGATCTTTCTTTCTGTGAGAGAAACTCGCTAAGTTGCTTGTTAATATAGCCCACATTTAGCCGTTGTATACAGTAGGCTATCCGGTCGTCTGGGCTACTTTAGCTGTTGCTAAGACTTGTTTTATGTTTTTTTTAGGTAGTAACGGACTGTTATCGGTTCATCAGTAGTAAGTGTTTACGTTCTTACCCGCTCTGACCATGTCGGGTCGCTGTCACTCCAACAACGGACGGTTAGCGGCTCACGAGCAGCGCCCGTTCCAACAATAAAGGCAAAACTCTTCCTTCCTTCCTGCTCTCCTGTCTCCGTGTGTGTGTGTGTCACGCAGTAATTTGATCATGATACAGTATCAAAATAATCATATTTATCCATTTTTAAATAACATTGAAAACACTGTGAAGAAGTCATTCTTTCCTATATTTAACAGGCAAACACTTTGATTATAAGGCAGCGGTGCATTCGGAAAGTATTCAGACCCCTTGACTGTTTCCACATTTTGTTACATTACAGCCTTATTCTAAAATGGAATAAAAATGGGATTTCCCCCTCGTCAACCCATAATGACAAAGAAAAAAACTGTTTTTTGTACCACAGGTGGACTCCAAGTTGTAGAAACATCTCAAGGATGATCAATGGAAACAGGATGCACCTGAGCTTAATTTCGAGTCTCTTAGCAAAGGGTCTATTTCTGTTTTTTTTATTTTATTACATTTGCAAAAAATGTCTAAAAACCTGTTTTGACTTTGTCATTAGGGGGTATTGGGTGTAGATGGATGAGGGGATCATAAATCATCATACGTTCTCTAGTCTATCTCCAGAGTTGGGAGAAACACACCCACTGAACCTTCAGAACCACACACCAGAACTACAATACATGACATGTCCAGCCATAGAACTAGCCCAAGAGACAGAACCACAGACAGACCAGAACCACAGACAGACCAGAACCACAGACCAGAGACAGAACCACAGACTAGAGACAGAACAGCAGACCAGAACCACAGAAAGACCAGAACCACAGACAGACCAGAACCACAGACAGACCAGAACCACAGACAGACAAGAACTACAGAACCACAGACAGAGAGCGTAAGAGACAGCAAATTCACATTCAGTTTTCTGGGGCTCCACTCCATTTCAGTTTCGGTCAGTACCGTTCAGAAAGTTTTGTTGGAATGGAACTGGGCCCCAAACTGTCTGGTAGGGGGATGTGTCTATATAGTATAAGGATAGTCCCGTAGATACTGTGCGACCACCTGGTTAATCCCAGGTAGTGAATCTATCCCCCCCGCTCCGTACATCTCAATGACTCGCCCCCTACACAGCTGCTGTAAGGTCATTGGTCGCTCCCTACGCCACGCCCTCCGCAGCCGCCTATGGGATGACTCCATGTAGGACCGCAGCAAGGCAAACAGCGAATCAAAGGCCTTGATACTGCCGTTGAGGCGGAAACTCTGATTGGTTAGGAGGACGCGGACGCTGGTGGGCCCCTGGTCGCCGTGGTAACTGAGGGTGAAGAAGACGTCCAGCTGACGACTGTCCCTGACAACCACACAACCACATGGCAACACAACGTTACACAGGACGGCACGACAGGGAGGGGGTGTGTGTTTGTTTGTTTCCTGATGAGGAGCAGTGTGTGTGTGTGTGTGTGTGTGTGTGTGTGTACCTGATGAGGAAGTTCCCAGGCGGTGTGAGTAGCAGCGTGTGGTGAATACCTGATGAGGAAGCTCCCAGGCGGTGTGTGGTAGCAGCGTGTGGGGTGTATACCGCTGAGGGAAGCTCCAGGCGGTGTGATTAGCAGCGTGTGGTGTATACCTGATGAGTAACCTCCCAGGCGGTGGTGGAGTAGCAGCGTGTGGTGTATACCTGATGAGGAAGCTCCCAGGCGGTGTGAGTAGCAGCGTGTGGTGAATACCTGATGAGGAAGCTCCCAGGCGGTGTGAGTAGCAGCGTGTGGTGTATACTTGATGAGGAAGCTCCCAGGCGGTGTGAGTAGCAGCGTGTGGTGTAATCCCTGATGAGGAAGCTACCAGCGGGTGTGAGTACGGCGTGTGGTGTATACCTGATGAGGGAAGCTCCCAGGCGGTGTTAAGTAGCAGCGGTGTGGTGTATACCTGATGAGGAAGCTCCCAGGCGGTGTGAGTAGCAGCGTGTGGTGTATACCTGATGAGGAAGCTCCCAGGCGGTGTGAGTAGCAGCGTGTGGTGAATACCTGATGAGGAAGCTCCCAGGCGGTGTGAGTAGCAGCGTTTTGGTTATACTTGATGAGGAAGCTCCCCAGGCGGTGTGAGTAGACGTGTGGTGTTATACCTGATGGGAAGCTCCAGGGGGTGTGATAGCAGCGTGTGGGGGTATACCTGATGAGGAAGCTCCCGGCGGTGTGAGTAGCAGGTGTGGGTATACCTGATGAGGAAGCTCCCAGGGGGTGTGAGTACAGGTGTGGTGTATACCTGATGGGAAGCTCCCAGGCGGTGTGAGTAGGCAGTGTGTGGGTATCCTGATTTAGGAAGCTCCCAGGGGGGTGTGAGTAGCAGCGTGTGGTGTATACCTGATGAGGAAGCTCCCAGGGCGGTGTGAGTAGCAGGTGTGGTGTAAAACCTGTTTAGGAACTCCCGGGGTTTTGAGTAGCAGCGTGTGGTGTATACCTGATGAGGAAGCTCCCAGGCGGTGGAGTAGCAGGCTGTGGGGGTTACCCGATGAGGAAGCTCCCAGGCGGTGTGATAGAGCGGCGTGGTGTATACCTGATGAGGAACTCCCAGGCGGTGTGAGTAGCAGCGTTGGTGTATACCTGATGAGGAGCTCCCAGGCGGGTGAGTAGCGCGTGTGGTGTATACCTGATTAGGAAGCTCCCAGGCGGTGTGAGTACAGGTGTGGTGATACCTGATGAGGAAGCTCCCAGGCGGTGTGAGTAGCAGCGTGTGGTGTATACCCCATGAGGAAGCTCCCCCGGCGTGTGAGTAGCAGGTGTGGTGTATACCTGATAGGAAGCTCCCAGGCGGTGTGAGTAAACGTGTTTTGGTGATACCTGATGAGGAAGCTCCCAGGCGTGTGAGTAGCAGCGTGTGGGTGATACCTGATGAGGAAGCTCCCAGCGGTGTGAATAGCAGCGTGTGGTGTATACCTGATGAGGAAGCTCCCAGGCGGTGTGAGTAGCAGCGTGTGGTGTATACCTGATGAGGAAGCTCCCAGGCGGTGTGAGTAGCAGCGTGTGGTGTATACCTGATGAGGAAGCTCCCAGGCCGGTGTGAGTAGCAGCGTGTGGGTGTATACCTTGATGAGGAAGCTCCCAGGCGGTGTGAGTAGCAGCGTGTGGTGAATACCTGATGAGGAAGCTCCCAGGCGGTGTGAGTAGCAGCGTGTGGTGTATACCTGATGAGGAAGCTCCCAGGCGGTGTGAGTAGCAGTGTATGGTGTATACCTGATGAGGAAGCTCCCAGGCGGTGTGAGTAGCAGCGTGTGGTGTATACCTGATGAGGAAGCTCCCAGGCGGTGTGAGTAGCAGCGTGTGGTGTATACCTGATGAGGAAGCTCCCAGGCGGTGTGAGTAGCAGCGTGTTGTGGGCCTCTTCCATCCCCATAGGGCCCCAGTAGTAGCCACTGTGAAGCAGCTGACGATGTGTGCGTAGGACTAGAACATACTCCTGCTGGCTGGAGAAGGTCCGGAGGTGTGTGGCCCAGGGGTCTGGGATGGGGTCGGGTCTGAGGCAGGGGAGAGGGATGGGGAGAAGGCAGGATCCGGGGCTTGGCCAGGGGAGAGGTATAGCCGCTCTAAAGCTGCTCTGTTGAGGCCACCAGGGATGGAGAGGACCGCCACAACTGGTCTGGTCTGGAGGTCTGGTCTGGTTGTCTGTGCTGGTCTGGACCGGAGTCTCTTGTTCTAAGAGTTCATTCTGTTGACCCAGGAGGTCTAGGTTCTCGAGTTTTAGCAGTTGGTTCTGTTGCTCTAGAACTCGGTTCTGTTGTTCTAGGTTTTCTAGGGTTTCCCCCGGAAGCTGCTGGGTTCCCTCCTGGTTCTGTGAGAGTGCCGTGTGGTTCTGTGATGGTTCCACTGTGGTTCCTGCCAGAGTGTCTCTGACCATCATACAGAAAAGACCCCTCCACTGGATCCCCCATCACCAGATCCCTACCACCCCCATTGGTAGATCATTATCCTGTATCCAGATCCACCATACAGGCGAAGAGAGAGAGAGATCCAGAACTATCTGGAGAGCTCCTGGGAGAAGAGACAGACAGACAGGCGACAGTGTTATTGAGATGCTGTATAACAACATGTACGAACACACAAGGGTCACACAGACGCCACAAGAAAAACCACTAACGCTGGAATGTTTATCCTCCATCTCAGCTTTCAGGGACTCAGTCACGGACAGCTGTGGCTGCTATGTGAACCCAATAACGTAGGCTGGCTGATTGTGGCGTCTGCCTCTTTCTCTCTGCTGTCGTTTGTAGAAGGATTACTTTATACTATTCCAGGTATTCCTTAAAGCAATGCCAAACGTCGGCTGATGTTGTGTAAAGCTCGCCGCCATTAGACTCTGGAGCAGTGGAAACGCGTTCTCTGGAGTGATGAATCACACTTCACCATTTGGCAGTCCGACAGGCGAATCTGGGTTTGGTGGACGCCAGGAGAACACTACTTGCTCCAATGCATAGTGCCAACTGTAAAGTTTGGTGGAGGAGGAATAATGGCCTGGGGCTGTTATTCATGGGTCGGGCCCCTTAGTTCCAGTGAAGGGAAATGTTAACGCTACAGCATACAGTGACATTCTAGATGATTCTGTGCTTCCAACTTTGTGGCAACAGTTTGGGGAAGGCCCTTTCCTGTTTCAGCATGACAACGCCCCCCGTGCACAAAGCGAGGTCCATACAGAAATGGTTTGTCAAGATCGGTGTGGAAGAACTTAACTGGCCTGCACACAGTCCTGACCTCAACCCCATCGAACACCTTTGGGATGATTTGGAACGCTGACTGCGAACCAGGCCTAAATCGCCCAACAATCTTGTGGCTGAATCCACGGTAGCAATGTTTCCAACATCTTAGTGGAAAAGCCTTCCCAGAAGAGTGGAGGCTGTTATAGCAGCAAGGAAGGGGACCAACTCCATGTTAACGCCCATGATTTTGGAATGAAATGTTCGACGAGCAGGTGTCCACATACTTTTGGTCGTGTGGTGTAATTGCGTTGTTTGCTCCATAACCTGTTAGTGTCCACATACTTTTGGTCATGTGTAGTGTGTCTCTGCTGTTGCCAATTGTGTTCAGTCTATGTTCTCTATATTGTCTTACACGTTATTTTATTCCCTGCCTCACAGGAGGCCTTTTGCTTCTTTGCCAGGCCATCATTCTAAATAACAATGTGTTCTTAATTGACCTGCCTTGTAAAATAAAAGGCAAAACAAAATAAACACACACAGTGTCTTTATCTTCCTAGTTATAACTGTTATAACCATAACCAGAGGAGAGATAACAGGACTGCGTATGTCTGGAAGGGTCTGGCGGCAGCAGCAAGACGGGTTGTAGGGGGGGGGGCGGAAACGCTTTCACTTTCATTCTGACTGTTACTGTAGCTCTTGCCTTTGGTTCAATGACGTTACACTACTCACACAACACAACGCTTGGACATGCAAATCAGCTCATTGTGCAAACTGGGTCGAAGTTCAGAATACAACTCACCAGTTGCCATTCAAACGTTCCTGATATTCTTTATACATGAATCGGTTTAAAACCTATTACAGCACAACGTCTTAGCTAATGCACACTGGACACTCCCAGCTTCAATCAAAGTAAAATACCTTTATATATGCCCAAATAAATGCAACAAAATATTAACAGTAGTCTTGTTTCAAATGGAGTTAATTGAGGAGCGCCAGGTGCTTACCGTTTTCTGGAGAGGCATGAGACGTTGCCCAAACGGTTCAGTGATTTGAGATGTTGGTACTAAGAGCGTAGATACTCAGCGCGCACTGTGTAGGCTATAACTCACACCATTCCGTTGACGTTACCGTCAAGGTTTTCATGTCCGTTTTCAGCCAAACGTAACCATATTTGCTACTTAGTTTTCACAGATCTTGGATGTAGTCGCCTGACAGTCAACAGTGGTGCCTTTACTGTCGCCTGCGTGAAACGGTATCTCGCGTTTAACGAAACCAAAAAAAAGTGCCCAGGAACACACCGCCATAACTCCTCCCCTCTCTAATTGTCCGGAGTCCTGTTACCACATGTATTTCCAAGAACACTCACAACTTTCTCTTTCATTATACATTGTATATTTCATTAAACGGTCACTTTTTAAACACCTGTACAAGTAGCCTGTTGCACAGTGCATTGGGGAAAGTATTCAGACCCCCTTTCCTTTTCCCCACGTTGTTATGTGGTGTCGAGAAAACGATGCTAATTATGCTGTGAGAACAAGGAAGTCCGCTGACGCTGTACTTTGATTATAAAGGTTTATTATATCAAAGGATTCCAGCTTCAATTTACAGATATCTGCCGATATATCTGGAGAATAACCGGCTCCTATCTCTAAATATGTTATTCTCCCCCGTCCTCTGTCCCAAACCATAGTGTATATATCCCATGTAACCTGATATGGGTGTTTTCCCCTACAGACCAATCCCAGGACTCCACCTAACAGACTTCCTCTGCTTTAGGGTGCCCCTCTAGAACTACTCCCCAGATGGTTCCCTTTAAGCTGAGTCAACATCCTCTAAGACTATTTGCAACCATTAGCAAAGTCATAAATGGTTCAGATACCACAGTTACATCCTATTTATAAAATTCTATTATTCTAAATGGATGAAAAAAATACAAATCATCATCAATCTATACACAATACCCCCATAATGCACATTTATAAAAATAAAAAAAAAGGGAAAAAAATGAATGGAGCAAAGTACAGGCAGAGGCCAGAGACCACCTGTTAGACCAGATGACGTGTTTCCGCACAAGCAGGTGCTGATTGTACGGGAGATTGTGACCGCCGGTTAAAATGGTGTCCCTTAGACTTAGGCAAAGAACTAGATGTTATGTCAGGAGAAGTAGCAGTAAGGAGACGTATACTTGGAATACGGAGGAGGAGTGGAGGGGAAAAGAGAGGCAGAGGAGGTCTAAGAGAGAGATGGAGGAAGAGGGTGCGCTTTAGTCGGTTATAAATGGCGGGAAAAAAAGGGGAGATGGTTTGTTAAAGAAAGAATGGTAGAAAGTGTTAGCGGAGTGAGCTGAAGACAGGAGGAGAAATGGAAGTGAATGAGGGTGAAGTATAGGAGGTGGAAGGTGTGGTGAAGTACCCGGAGTGAGCTGAAGACAGGAGGAGAAATGGAAGTGAATGAGGGTGAAGTATAGGAGGTGGAAGGTGTGGTGAAGTACTCGGAGCCAGAGGCTTGCACAGAGGGTCAGGATAAAGATGAGTCTGTGACAGTAGGAGTGAAGTTTTTGGAAAATGTGGCCCCTTGCCTTTTGGCTGATTCATTTCTGGTTTCAGGGTGGGTGAAAACAGAGTTGGATGCTGTGGAATGTTAAACGAATGGGGGCAAGAAATGTGAATTGTTTTGCTCTCAAGAAAAGGGCGCCATTGAAAGGTGTGATTACTGGGGTAGCAGTAAATATAAAAGTTGACCAACTGAAGGGGAAGATTACCGGTGTTTGTGATGCTCGTCGTTTGGTGCGACGCAAACAGGGTGGCGAGAGTGGGGAAACAGAAGAGTCATTGTCTGTTCTTTTGAGTTTTGAAGTTGAGTCTTTGCCTGACAAAGTGATCAAATCAAATCAAATGGTATTGGCCACATGCGCCGAATACAACAGGTGCAGACATTACAGTGAAATGCTTACTTACAGCCCTTAACCAACAGTGCATTTATTTTTAATAAAAAAGTAGAATAAAACAAAAAAGTGTTGAGAGAAAAAAAGAGCAGAAGTAAAATAAAATAACAGTAGGGAGGCTATATATACAGGGGGGTACCGGTGCAGAGTCAATGTGCGGGGGCACCGGCTAGTTGAGGTAGTTGAAGTAATATGTACATGTGGGTAGAGTTAAAGTGACTATGCATAAATAATTAACAGAGTAGCAGCAGCGTAAAAAGATGGGGGGGGGGGGGGGGGGGGGGGGCAGTGCAAATAGTCCGGGTAGCCATGATTAGCTGTTTAGGAGTCTTATGGCTTGGGAGTAGAAGCTGTTGAGAAGTCTTTTGGACCTAGACTTGGCACTCCGGTACCGCTTGCCGTGCGGTAGCAGAGAGAACAGTCTATGACTAGGGTGGCTGGAGTCTTTGACAATTTTGAGGGCCTTCCTCTGACACCGCCTGGTATAGAGGTCCTGGATGGCAGGAAGCTTGGCCCCAGTGATGTACTGGGCCGTACGCACTACCCTCTGTATTGCCTTACGGTCGGATGCCAAGCAGTTGCCATACCAAGCGGTGATGCAACCAGTCAGGATGCTCTCGATGGTGCAGCTGTAGACTGTCTTGGTGTGTTTGGACCATGATAGTTCGTTGGTGATGTGGACACCAAGGAACTTGAAGCTCTCAACCTGTTCCACTACAGCCCCGTCGATGAGAATGGGGGCGTGCTCAGTCCTCTTTTTTTTCCTGTAGTCCACAATCATCTCCTTTGTCTTGGTCACGTTGAGGGAGAGGTTGTTAGCCTGGCACCACATGGCCAGGTCTCTGACCTCCTCCCTATAGGCTGTCTCATCGTTGTCGGTGATCAGGCCTACCACTGTTGTGTCGTCGGCAAACTTAATGATGGTGTTGGAGTCGTGCCTGGCCATGCAGTCATGGGTGAACAGGGAGTACAGGAGGGGACTGAGCATGCACCCCTGAGGGGCCCCTGTGTTGAGGATCAGTGTGGCAGATGTGTTGTTACCTACCCTTACCACCTGGGGGCGGCCCGTCAGGAAGTCCAGGATCCAGTTGCAGAGGGAGGTGTTTAGTCCCAGGATCCTTAGCTTAGTGATGAGCTTTGAGGGCACTATGGTGTTGAATGCTGAGCTGTAGTCAATGAATAGCATTCTCACGTAGGTGTTCCTCTTGTCCAGGTGGGAAAGGGCAGTGTGGAGTGCAATAGAGATTGCATAATCTGTGGATC